GACGTGCCTCTGCGATGGAAGCTGGAAGCTCAATGGGTAACAAATGAAACTATCGTTTCCTTATGGATTAGCAGAAGCATGTAGTTTTTAAAGCATCAAAAACCCGGATTGAAAACGATTAAAATATTCTTTTGAGGATTTTAGTAAGCGATAAGAAAATTATAACGCAAAGTGGCCAAAAAGGGAATAATGAAACTCATCCATAATGTGCTTTTAGAAGTCACGTATGTGTCACTTTTAAGTGGCCTGAAGAAAGTAAACGAGACGGTGTGAAAAGTGAGAGCGCCACCAGTGTTCGACTAGGTAGCGCTGTTGGTTATTTATTTATTTATTTATTTATTTATTTATTTATTTATTTATTTATTTATTTATTTATTTATTTATTTATTTATTTATTTATTTATTTTAATTTTCCGTTGTACTTCAGACTTCTGTGTTAAACGACACCCAAAGCGTAGACTCTCCTTGCCAGTCAAAATATATTTACCAGCAATGACGTCACACAATAACGTAATTACTTCTTAATTCTTTCTTCGCGACAGCTAGCAATAGAAGGAACATAATATTTCAACATTGCTGCAATATAATCTGATGGTTAGCCACACGGGTGCCTTGAAAGCAATCAACGGAATTTCAAATTCTATATTGGGCAGACACACATACTGTGGGAGTCAATCTTTGAATTAGGGCGTGATGTGATCGCATCTACTTTTTTTCGGAATTAGTCTTACCGCAGCATCCCTCAGAAATATCATACAATAAACTGATGCCGTAATGAAGCGTAAAACCGATAGATGCATGAATTATAATTGTGTGAGTTTCAACAGATTTAACTTTCTAATTTGAGATATTCTGAAAAAATGCCGATTTACATACAAGACCGACATATTCATAGACACATGTTTGTCACTAATAACTCCAAGATTACGTACATTGTCATAAATCACCACAGTCACAATTAAACAAATTTAGTTAAATTTGAAGAGTTGTTGTTAAAGTTACTTGCAAATAGAGGTTTATGTTATCGTGAGATTATGTAAAGCTATGGTGTAATAAAAAACACTAATTCTGATAGTGATGATAACACGCAGTATTGAGTAGTGCGCTGCCCTTTATTTAAACAATAATGAATCCCCCACGGCGCCATTTTGGATGATGAGAATGGTCCATGCCAAGATTATGTGTAAGGCGAGGTTGAACACATTTACCGCTCCTAAACCCATCTCTGAATCCAATATGACGTTATGGGAGATTCATTAATGCTGTTGTAAATCACCACCATCACCATAATCTAATTCAATTTGAATAGAGGTGTGTTAACGTAAAGCTAATACTGTGAAATGACTAATTTTCACTGGGTTTAAATTTCACTGATTTACCATTTCAGGCATATTCAGTGGGTTTTAAATTCACGGTTTCGTCATTTAGATAATGTGTTCTATGCTAAATTTTACATATTCACTGGGTTTTAATTTTAATTAGCGCATTTTCCAGTCAGTGAAATAAGCTAAATTAAAACCCAGTGAATAATTACCCCCTTTACAGTACGTCATAATAACCTGATAGTAGTAATATGTAATCTATATGTGACAAGTCATGCAAGGAACAGTACCCGTTAGTTATCAAATCAGTTATCAAGTGTTATAGTTTTGTTTATTGTAATATAGTATGAGTACAAGTCCATTAATAATTAAAAAAAAAACAAATGGCCACCGTTTGGTCATCTTGAATCAGATCGATCGACAAATTCATGTGCATATGTATAATATTATGTATGACGTATGTGTAAAGTTTGAATGTAATCGGCCCAGGCATCTCTAAGATACAAGTCCGGACGCGCGCACCGACACACGAATACACAGACGTCCCCCTTTTCGGACTGCGTCCAAACGGGGGCTAATAATGGGCAGTGTAGACGGTACACCTAATCATGACATTGTAAGCACGGCGGTCGGGCCTGTGTTATTAGAATACTTTATCGGATTGCCACCGCTGATTTGTAAGTCAAAAATTCAAAACATTATCCACAGTCTCTCTGATAGAGGGACTGTGCATTAACATTAACTAAAGTTGTCTGGGTTATAGTCGACGACAATGCATAGTATTGCATATATGACTACAATAACGCGGCATGAATTTGAGAACTACAACAGTTATCACAGGAAACACGTTTTTTTTAAGCGTGAACTACATAAGAACAAACATACCAACTTTTTGATATGACACAAATAAGGACCCAGCCTACAGCATCAATGATCTGAACGATGAGATAGGAAGCTTTGAATCATGATGACAACGACGGGTCGAACATCGGGAACATTACTGCCATCTTTGCAATATTGTGTTTTACGTGCTCCGTTAAACGGTGTCCGTTTTACATACCATCTAATGCTAAGTCGAAAACAGAAGTTTTGTGCTCTCCGCCTTTTGGTTGACAGACTGGATGATATGCGTTGTGGGCCCATGATATATGTATGGGTTGTCTTTGCTGTTATTCAAGACCAATTCATCGTCTAAATAATAAAACATATTTTTCAGTGATTTAGCATTATTATCTGTTAGTTCATATGACTGTATTGTTGTTGTAATATTTACTCACTTACATTTATATATAAATGAAATAAATGAAAGGTTATTGAAAAAGACGATAGCACCTAAAATGTTATCCAATGTGATCCCGCCTTTTGGTACCCAGGCCGAATATGACCCTTACATTGGTACCCTGCCAAATTAGCGTGATCCCATCTCTGACATCTAAAACAAACATAACATATCCCCACTTGCACCCGAGAGGAATGTGTCCCATGCCACCGGTAACCATGACACATGTTATCCTGCTTATTTGCACCCAGGCCTAGTGATACCCGCCCACTGGTTGACCTCGCCTTCTGGTAGCCGGCCCCAACAAGACTCCGCCCAGTGGTACCCAGCCGGATGATACCCTGCCAACATTCAACCAGGTTGAATTATAATAACTTAATAATAACTTTATTACACAGCCACAACCATCAGAGGGTTTAGTATGGTAAATAACAAATAACAAAAGACTAAATTAATAAAGCTAACTAAATAAGAGTAAAAAAAATAATAGGAAAACGATAAAAAAATGTATAAAATACTAAAACTCGTTAACTAATAGTCAAACCGATTAAGACTCCGCCTACTTGTAGCCAGGTCGAATTGCACCCACCCACACACACACACGCCCACCCACCTTATTCGCCAGACCGAATGAGACCCACTGGTAGTGGAGACAAATTTAAACTCGTCCACTTGTATGCCATTTGCCAGTTCTGACTTGCATGCCAATTCGACGTTAGCTTATTCTAAGTACGCTTCTCAATATTCTCTATTTCGAAAGAAAAATGTCCAAAAACAACTCAGTTCGGTTGACATTTGTGTTGTTTTCCAAATCTCAGGTTTTTACCCGGGCTGTCAGAGGGACTTTGAACATCCACATAATGACTCGTACTAGTGCATAAATATTAATTACAAACAAAGAGTGTCCTTCAACTTTGATATCAACATTTACATAAACTTACCTCTCAATTAACGAACACCTGAATTATGATTTACTCGCCAATACTCTTGAATACACACCCCGAATAAGACACACGTCGTTTGTGGTGCATGTATTGACGCAGTTAAATACAACCCAGTACAAAGGTAAATACAAGGGACTTTCCCTTTCATAGCTTGCATGACGTGTTAATTACACAGTCTTTAAGTTCTACACTTGTGTCATTTACTAAATCTCAGACAACTAATAATAGTAATCATTAATAGTCTGAGACTAAACCACGTAAACCAATACTCCATACCAGTATAATACTAATTAACAACATTAATCCAGGTTTATGTATTCTTCTGTCAATTCTATGCGTCCCAAGAGTATGGACGAGACTGGGGACACGGTTTTACTATCCCAAGCAGGGAATCCTATATCCGGGTTCTTTGAATTCTAACTGATACATTGGTTACATGTCAGATTCACTGACACACTCATGTTACAATGATAACCCATTAGACCTGCTCCAAAACGTGCAATGCTCTGAGTAATATCACCAGAAGTAAATAATAGAATACTGTCATCTGAGCTTAAATCGGTTCGATAAAGCCAGCATACATGTATTTTGACAATGCTTACCACATGCAACATTTGCCGAAACGAACCAACACATTTAGTGTTTTTAGTAACATTGACTTGGGATACCATCCATTCACGTATGAAATTCGTATTCGTACGTAGGTATAGTGTCGATGCTTGCAATATCAATTGAAAAACTGCACAGCAGCAAGACTGGATTAAACTGACATTCAACCTTCTGTCCTTCACTTAAATACATCTTGCCACGTGACCCCACATACCATACGCCGTCTGTTTGCCATCCCGAACAGACAATAGTCAACCGCTATACTGCGAAACGCAGGTTGATCAGGTTAATGTGAAATGTAATTATAGTCGACAGTATACAGTAGGGCTACTGAGAAGGTAATCTATAATCTGGGTCAACAGGCCCGGGTACACATCCCTATATGTGCGAACAAAAATATTCCATTCACAGCTTTTTGCAAAAAATACCTACCCCATTAGAATTTCGTTGATATCAAATTTCGTATGGTAAGAGATGTTTCCCCACCAGAAACCCCGGGTCGTAGTATTGTCTCTGTAACTGCCATTATTAGTTATCGACAATTCGCAGCCAGACTTGAATACTGAAACTGGGCGAGCCGTTCGACTTTGAGCTTTTATTCAACGAGGTAGTAGTAACAGCAATAGTAGGCTTAGTCACGTGATGTAATCCAAGATGTACGATGTGTATACGTTAACTTTAATAAAATCAAAAATAATAATTTAGAACATTACTTATACTCGTCTGCTATTGATTAATAAAGTAACGTCGTTACTGGAAAAGGAATGAAAGATACGATAGAAAGTCATGAACTACCACATAATCAAGATTATATAAAATCAATTGAAATGAACAGTAGCTGTAACTTCAAAATTATTATAATAATCAGAAATAGAAATAAAAGTTAAAGTGAAGCAATTAAAAGTTAATAGGTCTATACAAGTACCGTAATCTGTGTATTTAACAGCGGATCTATTTTTATAATAATGCGTCGCATAGTTCTTTTAGAGTGGATAAATAAGCAAATAAAAATATTTTACAAAATAGCGGAAATGCATCCGAGGCTGCACACATCACGTCACCAATAGTCAATTAAGCCTACGTTTGAAAAACAGCATGATAATGTTACTTATAATATACAGATAATTTTCATGATGCGTTTTTATTTGGTGATGTTGTTAACAAAATCAAGATACAAATGTATGGTGACTTAATTACGCACATGAACTGCGTCATCGTCCTTAAAATGAAATGTGTTTAATAGGATGCTATGATGAAAAGCCAAATCACACATGTCCCAAAAATTGTGTTCGATAAAATTGAGTTATAACACAAGAAATAAATGTTGACGACAATTGTGTCATTGTCAGGAGCCGAGCTATGGAATCGATTTACTGTTTTACATTGAAACCATAGATACATAACGCATTTGACATGACGAAAACGAGTCGCGGGCTAGGTCTGGAAAGTCAACATCAGTCAGTGAACACTGGCAGAACAAGTACGGTCACGATGATTCCTCCAGTACTTATAAAACGAATGGTATTGACATATTAGATAACATGTGTTGACTCTCGGCTTTTCTGTATCCCATCACTTCCATAAATCGAGCACACTCTCCCGTATTTTCGATTTCTTCCACAAGATCATAATTCAGACGATGTCTCCATTTCTGCGATGTTTCTTTCGAATTCCTTTTTGTTTTGAACGCATACAGCGCATGCTCTGTCATGTCCTCGTTCGTGTTTTCCTGAATCCATTCACTTACCCGCTGAGGAAACTCTATCCCTAAGAACTCGTAAATCTGTAGTGCTATCTTTTCCGGGTCAGATGCCATATCTTCGTATCGAACGTGAAAATAACTGTTTCCTAGTACACGTTTCCCTTTAGTGCCGAGTAAGTAATTTCTCATTCCCATTGCGCAATATGTTTTCAGCCGCTGTAAACTTTCTGGAGATAATTGATCTTTTTTTAAGACGAAATTAGTTTTCTCCTTCGTAAAGGCCTTGTAGTTATGAATTGCTATTGGAATAACGGAAGCCATCATTGCTCTCGGATCTCTTAACACGTTTATGATTTTCAGGTTTACTTTCGGGTCTCTCACCAGGTAAACGAATGAATTCAAATCGTGAAGTCGAATGATTTTTATTGCTTTATACTTGAACGAAGTACATGACTCTTCTGCTGTGTCTGAATTCAAGTTAAGACACCTATTAAAGAATTGAAACTTTTGACTCCAGCCAGTGCAGTACTTTTTATTTACCCATGCGCTGACAACATCTCTTTTGCCGAGCGGAACTCTTGCATTGTATAACTTGTCTAAGAAGGCATTCGTTGCTGGTGTCGAGAAATTACAGTTATACATATCATTCATCATTTCTAAGCCGAGTACAGGTAACATTGGGTCATCGTCTTTCAGGTTTAACCCCCGTAACGGCTCAAAAATATACAAGAATTCCTTGTTTTGTTTGAATATTTCCCCAACGAATGACGAACCAGTTCTCATGCTGGCTAGGACTAATACGTTTACATTGTCTTCCGAGTGTAGATAAGTGTTGTTGCTGTTGTGATGATTTTCTCCATATGGATCACGGTGGTTAGATGCTGTTTGATCTTGACTTTGCATGGTCGTTTCTTCGTAGTTATTTCTTATCACAGTGTCCGTGTCTATGTTAAATCTGTCCGGTCCAGTAGAAGCATTTCGAGTCAGCAACACCAAATATGTCACTGCTATGTTGATCAAAAGTAACACAATCACAAGCTTGGTGAAACGAGCCATATCGTCTACTCCGGTATGCGGCATTGAACAAGAGATATTCTGATTGCAAAATGGTAGTTGTGTACGGCCATGAAGTTCGAATCCCATGCCATCCCCGAGACCAGTGGGCTGGAATAATTGTAAGTATGGTAATTAGTAAAAGAAAACATTTGTATCCAATTATAGGGCTGCTCTCATACGTGTTTTGTGTTGACAAACTAACACCTGGGCTTTTGCGTGGTTGTAAATCGATTGCTCTAATTACGTTTACCGTGAAATGTATTTAGTTTTTTTTTATCATATAACGAACCATTGACAGACAATAATTATTGGGCTTCAGCTGTAATCAGCTATTTATAGTATCACAGAATTAATTACACGACATGACAGCGAAATTATTGGACACATGCAGTACCCACTGACCTACAGCGAATCACATCTCACTATCTGCAACACCTGTCGAAGCCACAGAACGTGGCGTATCTGTATGGCATACTTTATATGATCAAATCCGCCGTCTGCGAGTGACTCATCTTATGAAACCCGACAGCTCTGAGTGAAGTAAGCAAATAACACCGAATAAACGGCAAGGTAAAGACTATGTCTAATTATAGTAAATACGTACTGCGTGCGTGACTCGAACCGGCGCTCGCGTACGGCACCTAATCGCCTAGCTTCACGCCACTACACGTCTTCCCCTCGGCCACCGGGCATCCCCAAAAAAGGATGCTTAATAACCGAGCTTATTACGTGCAGAGAACATGAAACCCGTCCACGCGATACGCGCCACACAG